CTATTTGTATGGTTGCAGTTTCCTCTGCTTGTTGAAATTTTTGTTTCGACATATGCTTCAAGAATCTTTAATAGAAAAATGAAGCCTTGGCTGTAGTGGGGAGCAAGTTGATTGAATTTTTTGTGGCACAAGTGAGCAGTTTCCACTCCAAGTTGAAATTCTTTAGCTCGTTCTTCGGTTATGTTTGTTGGAACTCCCAATTTCTCTGTATTATTTGGTCGTATTATCAGATTCATTGCTTTTTATGAAACTTTGTGCTCTATGGTCCTTCCCAAATTTGTGTACTGTTGAGAAGATCACTATGGTATCTCTAATTAGGAAGTTGTTTAGGAGGTTTTTAATTCTTAGCTATTCATTAGGATTAGGTTGTTAGTTTGTTATTATGTTGTTGGTTGTTGAGATTATATTTGTTAGGATTGTTAGTTACATTAGTTTAAATATGGTTGTTTTGTAAAACTTATTTTTTTGGGTACATTTGTAAAACTTATTTAAAGACTAATTTATTTGATTTAATATGAGAGGTTGATTATCATTCCGTTTTCTTCGAATTTAATGATTCTTAACCCAAAAAAAAAAAGTTAAAATTTTAATTTGGTCCTTCAACTTTTAAATTTGTATTGTATTTGTCTTTAAACTTTAAAAATATTAAAAATTATCCTCAAATGGCAATTTTTGGTACCAATTTTATCCATCCGTTAGTTAAATGTTAATATGACCGAGTTTTTCATCTGAGTAATTCAATTTCTTTTAATATTGAATATTAGGTGATACTAACTAAATCATATATATAATATTTTTTTAATCTATGTGTCAATTATTTTAATAACGTTACATTCAAATTCAAATAATTATAAAAAAAAAATTTCAAAATTACTTAAATGGCCTTAGTTATCTTCTTCCTCTAGCCCCCAGATCTTTGTTTCTCACTATTCCTCATTTCTCTTTCTTTCTCCATGTCTACCTCCTCTCATGTCTAGATCATTTATTTATGCACTTAAACATCACTTAAAATTTTTTACTTTTTATTCTTTAAAAGAAAAATAAGGTTCAATTTCTAAAAGTAATGATAAGGTACTTTTACCAACTAACCTCGTTCTGTAAATTTAGTTTTTTCATAAATTCCTTAATCACGTTGCGTATACCCAAAGTGCAAGCTGTCCCAAAATACTATCCAAAAAGAAAAAATGCCATCGACCATAATATTAAATCATTACCACAAACATACATTTTCTCTTGGCCATACCACAAACATAAATTTCAAATTAAATTTTTGATAATCATGACACCCAATAAGAGATGAAACAACTACATTATCGATACAAGATTCAAACCAGACCCTAAGCAGCAAAGCCTAATCCATTAAGGTGAAACTAAAATTGCATAAATGACAAGAGAAAATGAAGATACATGATGTAGTCTAGATTTGAAAAGGTATAGGTCTTCTATCAGGTCATGATTCAATCTTCTCAAAGAACTTGATAGGCACGACACCATTAAAACCTTCAGTCAAGATCACCTTGTTGTCTGAAATGTAAAGCTTCATTCCCTCTGATTTTGGAGAATGCAAGAGGGAACGGAAAGTAGGAATTAGTTCACATTCATCTCTTTATTATTCCAGTCATTGAGTAAATATTTGCATTGAAGCAAGTTCATTTGCTTTAGATCAGAAAGAGGTTTAAAGATAGCATTTTGTATTGTACCTTCCAGAGTTTTTTTAACGTCAAGAAATATCAAAACATTAACATCTCGTCTAATACCTGAAGAAAAGAAATATGTATCATTAGAAGCAATCTAACTGACTCTAAATGTCATAGAGTCTGGATCTATGTAGATCATGCAAAGATCCAAATGTCTAGCTTGACAAACAAGCATAAAAATAGCTTACCACTAATTACTTCGCCATGAGATGGCAAGCCATGTGAGAAGTGCACATGCAATCTATTCATGCGTTTTAATCCAGATTCCAAAATCGATTCCAGTTTCTTCTTGTATGTCCCATGTACACAAACTGTCATCCCGCCGAAGTAAAGAAATGAGGCCAACGAAAAGTAGGGAAGAAATAAAAGAACCTTTACCTAAGTAGAACATTGCAGGAGAGTTAATTTTACCTGGCACTTCGTCAGCTGAAAGGATTGGTCTTAGTAACCCCTCAGATTCTATTGTCTGCAATTTGAATGCACAACAGACTTGTATTTTTAGATTTTGCATACAAGAATTCATTTAGATGCTTAATCAGACAGCAAAATCAAAAAGTACGCAAGAAAGTTTCAAAGAGCAGAGAATTGCATCATGGTCAAAATTCATATATTATGACTAGAATCCTCCATATGTAATTCTACTATATTCAAAGTTTCATTCGGATTATATGTCTGATTTTTTTTTTTTCCAATCAATAAATTGCCAAATATGATATAATCATATAAATTATTTAAGTGAATCAATTAAAACAAAGAACTGCTTCTTCAAGGAAATAGATGTTAACAACTGAAGAGGCACAATCAAACAATAGACAAAGCACTTAACGAATTCCCCAACTAAATGAGGATAAAACAAGATATTAATCGTAGAACTTCTAATTATAGATGAACCTAAATATGAAAGATGATTATGTTAGTGACATTTTAGCTGGCAAGCCATGATTCATAACCAAAGAGACCGAAGAATGTAAAATTCACAGTAAAACTTCAAAGAAATATCAAAGAAAAAGAAGATATAATTTTCAGTGTTGTAAACAGGACTTATCACCTTCACTGAGTGGCCTTGGTTTGCACGGATCAAAAGCTCCCCATTTGCCTCCATTAGGCTAAACCGTTGCTTATTATCCTTTCTGACAGCCTGAGATCAAGAAATAAATAATGCAATAAACCTTTTCCCCTATATAATCGCATCACTGATAAATAAGACTAGAGAAACCAAAGAAAAAAAAAACAGAAGTGCCACAAACCCACCTCCCTAATATCATCAACCGAGTGTGACCTTAATGGAATGTTGGCAAATGATTTCAAATTCAGCTTTAATAAATCCTGAACTTTGACATATCCATCACTTCGCATATTCAAGTGTAGCTCAGTAGCCATATGTCGCAGAATACGTGTCCTGAAGACATGAGAACATTATTTCAATAAAATTAGTCCATCCAGTTATCCACCATGATAAGTTGAACTCAAAATCTGCCGGTGAGGTTACATCTAACAGAAAGAAACAAATTGACAGAAAGCCTGATGATCATCTCAAATGTGCACCATTCACCACCCAAGACTTAAATCATTCAATAGCAACAGCTTGCCATTCTTTAAACATTGAGAGGGATAAAAAAGATTATATCTAAGAATGCACAGTTTCCATTATCTTTTCTTTTCCTCTTTACCTTCCCTACCTAACTTCAGTGGGTTATTTTTAAATATGACACTAATTGATACACTAAACATAATCATCCCACATTAATTGAAAAAGAATGAAACAAAACGAGTAGCAAAAAGATTATGTTTAAGAAGAACAAAACTATGGTTTTTACAGCTTACAAAAGTCTACCGAGAGCATCAATTTTGTCTTTGCCAGAACTACAGCCGCTGCCACCACCATGTCCTTTTGATCTCTCTAGATCATGTTTCACATCAAATCCTCTTCCTCTACCACTGCTACCAAGAAAAAAAAAAAAAAAGTTCAGAAAGTTATTCCATTGCAACAAAATCCAAGTTGAGATTTTGAAAAGAAAACTGACACAAAACCTTGTATCGAAGACTTGGTAAAATGAAACTGAAGCCAAATGCTGCTGGCCTGGGTATCAACAATTCATATAGCATTTTTTTTTTTTCCAAAATTTCAAATGATTCCAGCAAATACTTTTAAAAAATGGGAATTCAGTATTTGACATGGTTCGAATTTGAAGCTATAGAAGCATGGAAGGGGAAGTTACCTTCGGTTGGAAAGAGGAAAAGAAGAGAAAGGCAATGAGTCATTGAGGTTTGTGAGGTTTGTAAGGTTTGTCCCCTCCATCTCCATGAAACCTTGGGCGCGAAACCTAGCTAGCTGAGAGGAAGCAGTTATTTGGAGATTTGGAAGATAAAGAAGACAGTGTCGTAGGTATCGAACTCTACTGTTGGTCAACGAAGACAACATGCCAACAAGTTCCCGTATTTAAGAAACAAAGTGAAATCTGCTAACTTCAGTTTCTAGTGAACAAGAAAACTATGATGTTTCATATGAAACGCCGGAGCCACCCAACAAGTGCTTTCATAGGATGAGAGATTGAGATAAGAAGAAGAAATTAAAGAGATTTTGCGAACCTTGGTAGTATAGTGTGGAGGTGATTTTGTTTGAAAAGAAAACAAGAAATTCTGGTTAACCGGACCGCCGAAGATCTGTATTCGCCGGTGAAATCGTTTCTGCTGGCCTCAGGCCCTCAAGTTATTGGGCTCAACACTTCTTCCGTTTGGGTTAACAGGAGTTGTATAGAAACCCAGAAGCCCACCGCCACTGGAGCTCTAATTTTTTGAGGCCCAGAAGCCCGCTGTCACTGGAGCTGTTTAAAAGCCGATGAGCCCACCAATGCCCAACTAATGGAAAAGGAATATAAAGACATCCTATCTTTATGCAGATAATTAATCAAAGAGGAGGCTGCCTAGAAACGGGCCTTGTCAATATAAAGTAATAGGCAAGGTAGGCTACCAAATAGACTTAAGGGGATATTACATGGAAAACTCAGAACTGGGTGGAAAACCAGCCCATGTTCCGCTACTTGTACTAGACACTAAAAAATTTCAGTTATGCCAGAAGAATGCTGCCTACAACAGCAACCTCAAATGATATTTGAAACCAGAGAGAAGCATTTGACACTAAAAGAGATAAGAAAACCAACGAACTAATAACTAACAAAGGACGAGAATAAAGAGATACCAAGACTCCATACGCTCGAAATAGGTAAGAATGATTAAACAAAACTAGTGCACTAATGAAATGCAGTTACTCAAGACTAACACTGCAAAACATCTGCTAATATATGTTGCACTGCTCTGACATAGTTGATTTTACTTTCCAACTTATTTAAGTTCATTTTCTAGTTTAACAGTCAGAAATAGCATCACAGCTGTTTCATCTGATGGAAAAATAATAAGATGGCCCATAATTTCTCAGCAAGCAAACAACTCCCATGGGAAAAAGAATAAAAGATTGAGCAGAACTTGGGTTAGGTCACTTGCATCCTGAGAAGAGATCTTCAACCAACTGGGTGGAGTCCTCTTGTACGGCAAAGCAGATGCAGAAATGCCCTTTCTGAACAACAAACAAAATCAAATAAAGATGGATTCAGAGAGAGAGAGACGATGCATGATTTCTTCAATGTTGGAAGTAAGGTGAAATAACAAACCCTCCACTGTGCATGCGACCCATGGTGGTGGAGTATTCGACTTTGCTGCCTTACTCGGCGGTCGGTCACCTCTTTCTTGCTCTGAGAAAATAAAAAAAACCCCAGCATTAAACTTCTCCGGCTAGGGTTTTATCTTCTCGATTATTTGCACGGAAGTCCTTGAACTTCTATTGATTACTGGTTTAAATCTTATGAATACGATTTTTTTTTTTTTTTTTGCAGACTGGACTACATCGGGCCTGTAATGGGCTAAAACGATCGAGTCGAGCTTGCAAAAACCATCAGCTTATAATGAGAGCCCATTGAAATCTGTGGCCGATTGGGCCACGTCCACAAGTTTGTAACCCGAAGCACAATAAGCATTTTAAGGGGTACTAGTTTTTTTTCCCTTGCCAACAATAGGCTATCAATATTTTTATTGAATTTTTCTGACATGTGTTTTTAAAGGCACATTTTTTTGTAGTAAATTTATATTAGAAAATGTAAAAGTAAACATTAATTTTAAAGTTAATATTACATGAATAAATTTAATTAAATAATTAATAAACTAAATATTATTTTTTATTTTTTTAAGATTTTTAACCTGTACTATTAT